CTCAGTAGACTCAAAGTTAGAGAATGAGAAAGGAGATAATCATGGTGCCAGAAGTCACTGTGGTCCTCAGGTACTAAGAGCCCAAGACTTGAAGGAGCTAGAAGCATCAGTGCAGCCAGAGTATTTGGAGTGTCATGAAGACAGGGTCTCAGAGAGTCAAGTTATTTGGCTAAAGAGCCCTGAAATAAAAAAGCTGCTCAAGCAGCCTTCTGCAGGCAAAGGGTCTCCTTATCTTAGAGAACCAGTCAGAGACACTTGAGCGGTTTCTGACTGTCCATAGCCTCAGCCTCCAGGTTGCTCCAAGCTCCAAGCACTTCTCAGGCTCCTCCAGAATTTCCAAAGAGCTCCTAGTGGGAGGTCAAATGCCCCTAAGGGTAGAGATTATGCACAAATTCCTGAGGAGTAGTGGGGGAAGGGAGGTTGGGAAGGGGGGGGGAGGGACAAAACTGGCTCTAACTAGCCTGGGGCAACCAGTAAAAAGCTGTATGGGGGCTCAAGAAGCTGCCAATCTGGATCTTGCTCCCTGGGCTGCTGGGGGGGGGGATAGTATGTATCCCTAGCAGAACGTCACCAGTGAGGAAGAGAAAACACATGGCTTCCAATACCCATGGCACTCAAGAGCCAACAGAGCCTCAAGGAATCTCACCACCATCACCGGAGGGCCACCTATCAATCAGGCAACAAATATTGATTTTGTACTATGAGCTTAGTGTACTGTGGGACTGGTGCTCTAAAGAGCCACCATTGGGGGCTGTGGGCCTGTCAGTGCCCTTGGCACTTACACTTGATGAGACTTATTACACAAAATCATAAGCCACACAATATAGACTGGGTAAAATTGTGTGGAACAGATTAAAAATACTGTATACGAAATTTGATAGACAAAGTCAAGCAACCACTTTTATAAAAGAGGTGGGACTTAAGCTTGGTCTTGATGAACTAGTACAATTTAGAGAGAGGAGATCCTTCTGGGAAAAAGAAGGAGGGTTAGATTGTGCCTTGTGAATGTAGTTAAAGGGTTCATGTCACCTATTGGCAGAAATAAGGTTGGGATTCAGAAAAAGGGGGGTGTCTTCCAATTCCATGGAGAGCTGGGTGACCCAAATGCTCAGTGTGGGGCAGGGGAGAACGGAGCAGCAGCTGTGCTGAAGTTCCAGTCCCTCAGCCTATTCAGGGAACTGGCCCAGGGCAAGGGTCAGTCCTGGGCTGGTATGGCCACTGTCCTGTAATCGCCATGTAAGCCTGCATTCAAGGAAAGGGTAGAATCTATGGAATGATTTTTCCTATCTGAACCTAGTTTTTGTTGGAATAGGAGTAAGGCTTCTCCATTTCCATAAGCCCCAGGTACCCACCAGAGCCTGACTTTTCCAGGATGGGCACCAGACCCTCTCCAGTAGGTTGTTACTTTGTCTCTGGTGCTCCCTGTGCAGAGAAGTCTGGAGCAGAGACTGTGCTGCTTGTCCTAGGGGGAACTGTGAATGGTCTCCCCCTCTCTTTCTCTGCCAGTTTTCCCCTTACATTTGACTTTCTTTTATTCTCTGGGACACCCCACCTGCTATGTCCTCACCTCCCCTTTGACTAGATTACTGGCCACCGACCTACACATACATCATGCCTCTTTTTCCTGCTGCCTCTGCCCCCTACAGAATTCCATCCGCCACAACCTGTCCTTGCACAGCAAGTTCATCAAGGTTCACAATGAGGCCACCGGCAAGAGCTCTTGGTGGATGCTGAACCCCGAGGGAGGCAAGAGTGGCAAGGCACCCCGCCGCAGGGCTGCCTCTATGGATAGCAGCAGCAAGCTGCTCCGGGGCCGCAGCAAAGCCCCCAAGAAGAAACCATCCGTGCTGCCAGCTCCACCCGAAGGTGCCACTCCAACGAGCCCTATTGGCCACTTCTCCAAGTGGTCAGGCAGCCCTTGCTCTCGAAATCGCGAAGAAGCTGATATGTGGACCGCCTTCCGTCCACGAAGCAGTTCAAATGCTAGCACTGTCAGCACCCGCCTGTCCCCCATGAGGCCAGAGTCTGAGGTGCTGGCAGAGGAGGAGATACCAGCCTCAGTCAGCAGCTATGCAGGGGGTGTCCCTCCTACCCTAAATGAAGATCTTGAGCTGCTAGATGGGCTCAATCTCACATCTCCCCATTCCCTGCTATCTCGGAGCAGTCTCTCTGGCTTCTCTTTACAGCATCCTGGGGTTCCTGGCCCCTTACACACCTATGGCGCCTCTCTCTTCGGCCCAGCAGAGGGGCCCATGTCAGCAGAAGGGTGCTTCTCAAGCTCCCAGTCTCTGGAGGCCCTGCTCACTTCTGATACTCCACCACCCCCAGCTGATGTCCTCATGACCCAGGTAGATCCCATTCTATCCCAGGCTCCCACACTTTTGTTGCTGGGGGGGATGCCTTCCTCCAGTAAGCTGGCCACAGGAGTTGGCTTATGCCCCAAGCCCCTAGAGGCTCCAGGCCCGAGCAGTCTGGTTCCCACCCTTCCTATGATGGCACCACCTCCAGTCATGGGAGGTGCTCCCATCCCCAAGGCTCTGGGAACTCCTGTGCTCACACCTCCTACTGAAGCTTCAAGCCAAGACAGAATGCCTCAGGATTTAGATCTTGATATGTATATGGAGAACCTGGAGTGTGACATGGATAACATCATTAGCGACCTCATGGATGGGGGTGAAGGACTGGACTTCAACTTTGAACCAGGTATGGTACCCCCTAATTACTTACTGTAGCATCTCAAAACCTATGCCCACTCCTAGATGCCCAGTTCATCCCATTATCTGAGCCAGGGAGAGATATAGAACAAGGGGTAAATGGAGCTCCTGGAGAATTGGAGAAGATGTTGCATTGGAGGAACAGTTTCTCAATGAGACCTCCAGGCCCCTCAGTAGTACCCATAGAAGGCAGCACAGAAGGGGTGTATTTGGAGGCGGGATTCTCAGTTCTCCTTGCTGTGAATGTGAACAGTGGGAAGTTGGCTTGCCCCAGATGAATCTCTTACCTTGTCCTCCATTTCTTCTTCCCACAGATCCCTGAGTCATGGCTGAAAGCTTTGTCCCCTGCTTCAGAGGTGGAGCTAGGCGTGTCTATATCCACTCTTTTCCCTTGAGTCCTCCCCAGGAATTTGGGACCCCTGCTTTAGAGCTAGGGTGGGGTCTGATCACACACACAGACATACACAGACACACACACACACACACACACACACACACACAGAGTCAGGAAATTAAAAAGATAAAGCTACCCGAATGGGGAATATGGGGGGAGGGGGGCTGGGAGGGGGAAAGGGAAGAGGGTTTATTCTCACTGTGCCAATTAGGGGGTAAGGCCCTTTCTCAGGAGCCATCCTCAGCTTCCCCCCATACCCACTCCTAGGCTTTGTAGCAGGGGCCAGCAATGCTGTTGGAAATGTGAAGTCACCAGTGGCCTTACCCCTGCCTTTGGGAGCAGGAATTTTTTTGTAGAGAGTCTTATCTGAGCTGGGCCAGGCAAGGTTGAGCCTGGAGATTTTATGCAGCGGCCCCTTGGGCCAGTGGTGTGTGGGGGGGGGGGGAACAGGGGACCTAGAAGGGCCAAGGTCTGAGCACTGGAGTGGCTCACCAGGCCAATCACCTTTGGAAGGCTACAGATAACAGAAAGGCTTTTTATAAACTTTTAAAGAAATATAAACACAAATATAGAGATTTTTAACAGTGGCAAGGTGCTAGTGATTGGGGAGAGTGCTTTTTTTTTTTCTTTTTCTTTTTCTTTCTTTCTGAAGGCTTTGTCCTAGTGACATGATACAAACACTACAGACAATACTACAGGAGACATGGGGAAGTTGGGGAGAAGTGGGGAGCAATAGTGAACATGGATGGATAAGAGCTCCCATTTGGACCAGGTCTAGAGAAGGATCTATGCATAAATAGGTTGGAGTTTTCCCCAGGGAAAAACCTAAACTATGTTCCCTTGTCTGTCAACTTGTGCTTGGGAGAGTGGTATTGGGGTACAGCCACACTCTTGTATGCCCCAATGTGGGTTTGTGCTATACAGAGGGAGAAAGAATTGAAGGCCTGGAATTAGCTTGGGGCCTGGGAGGGGGCCAGAGGGGGGAGAAGAGAAGGAGGGAAGGATTTAGGGTGGTAAAGTTAGGTACAGAGACCTCCCTGTTTAAGGCCCCTGACAGCTGTCCCTGCCCTTCTTCCCCTTCTCTGACTACAGGGGTTATGTGGAAGTGTGTGTGGTAGCAGGCAGGGGGGAGGGGAGGAACTGGGAAGGGGGAGCTGGGGAGCTTGGCTGAGGGTCTGGGAAATGAGCAGGGATGGGGGGAATGTGGATCAGGTTTACTAGCACCTGCCAGGGAGGCCATCTGGGGCTCCTTCTCCACCCCAGCCCCCAAAGCAGCCCCTCCCCCAGTGCCCTTTGCATTGTCCCCTCCCCCACCCCTGCTGTGGGTTCCCATCATTTCCTGTGTCAGCGCCTGGCCTACCCAGATTGTATCATGTGCTAGATTGGAGTGGGGAAGTGTGTCAAATCAATAAATGAATAAATTCAATAAATGCCTATAACCAGCTCTGGTTTCTGCTGCTTTGCTGCTCCCCTGGATAAGGGGGAGGGAGGGGGAAAGTCGAAGGGCAAGTAAGTCGAAGGGCGGCGGGAAGGACTGCCCAGAGGCAGATAGGTGGGGGTGGGGGAATTTCAGCCTGGGAGGTAGTGGAGTATGGTGGGGGAGGGACACCTAACCCCTGCAGGAGTAGGCGGGCTGCGAGATAGGCCTCCCAAGGGGAGGTAGCCTGGTTTGAGAAGACCCCACCCCCTACTCCGTCCCTCAAAGGCTCATTGTACCAGACTTCGGTCTTTCCTCACCCCCACCCATGTGCTCGCAACAGCCCTCTCCTGCCGATCCCGTCCACCCTCCCCGGGGCCTGGGGCCTACTTAAGCCTTAGTGCAGATATTGGGAGAAAGAGTCTGTCTCGAAAAAGGAACTTCACATTAAATTCCAGGAATTTCATACCCAGAATTACTGCTCTCACTTGGTCACTTTATTGAGTTAGCGATGTTTATCCCTCCTACCGAGATTGTCTGCTCTGGTCTTAAAGGGAGGGCCCCTACGAGTGGGAGGGGGCCCATCTTCTTCTGATCTTCCTGATTTGGACTGGAAAGGGAAAGTCAGTAGATAAACAAAGAGGCCCTACAGGGGAGGTTTCTACAAACTGGGGCCAAAGGGAAGACAATAGAAGTTGGGGTCAGGTCTTGGTCATAGGTGTAGGATTTGAAAAGGAAATCCATCCCAGCGGTCTGGTGGGGAGAGGGGAGTGCTGGAGCGGGCCATGTTTGGGGAGTCTTACTGGAAGATTCATGGTGGATTCAATTGGAGTGACCTTCTTGGCTTCCAGGGTTCTAAGCATTTTCACTCGGCTCCTCTCCATGAAGTCACATTGTGTGCGCAGGGCATCTAGGAAACAGGAAAAGACAACCATGCCTCTGAGGAATAGAGACCTCATCATCCCATCTTTCAAATGGTCAGCTGGAGTAAACTGGCCTAAAATGGAAATGATGGTGTAGTGATACGGAGATATACAGAGAAGATGGCAGAGACATGGGGGGAGGAGGAAATGACATATCCACCTGGTTTAAATTTCCTAAAGTGGACCCCCTTTTTTGAGGTACTAGGGGATTGAACTCAGGGACTTATGCATGCTAGGCAAGCACTGAGCTACATCCCCAGCCCTTTTTATTTTGAGACAGGGACTCACTAAGTTGCCCAGGCTGCTATGGAACTGAGTAGCTTAGAATATAGATGTGCATCTCCACACCTGGCCTTGCCCCTTTTTCCTAGGCTCCTATGAACTCACTTTCCATTGTACAACTAGTCCCACCCTATATTCTCCATCACACAGCTATGTACAGTATTCCCCACATTCTTCCCTCCCCCATCACACTTCTTACCAAGTAGCTCAGGTTCTGGATTCTTCAGAATGGGCACAAAAGCTCTGTAGGCATTCTCAAGTTTGGTTCCTGTAAACATAGCCTTCTGCTATATCCCTAGCCCTTGTCACCCAGTTTCCACCCCTCTGAAGCCCAAGATTTTAGGACTCTAACACTAAGCACTACCTTGAGTTGGTGTACCTTATTTTCTCCCCTTATGGACCTAAGGGAAAGTTATGGACTCTAGGCTGAGGTGGGGGGGGAGACATAGTATTTGTGAACATAACCTATTGTCATAGAGGCAGTGCCCTTTCTTAGGCTAAACTAGATATCGTCAATTGAGGTCTGATTGAAGGTGCCCTACTTTAAGGACAAGATTCATGATCCATCTTGAAGGTCTTACTCTATCTCTGGGTAATATTCCCAAGCCTCTACCTGGTGCCCCACGCTCCACCTTACAAACATAATAGGTGTCCCGAGCTGTAAGGAATTTGCTGGCATATTCTCCAGGGGTCTTCATCAGGAAAAGCAACTTCATTGTCCCCGATTCATCACACAAATCGATGGTGTCTGGAGGGAGGCCACAGAGTAATCGGGACAGCTAAGGACAGAAGGCGGAAGCAAAAGGGGCCAGTGATCCTACACAGAATGAGTTGGAGGAAGCTGTAGGGATATGAGGAAACCCCTTCTTATCAGAATGAGGATTTAGGGGCTACAGATACTCCTACTGCTTCTGACCCTTGGCCCTTAGTCCCCTCCCAAATCTCCTCACCTGTTTTACGCAACCCCACTTTACTGCGAGTGTAATGTAGCAACGGGAAAACAGAGCAATTGGTATTGACCAGAAACTGCTGATTATCTGAGAAGAAATGGGATGGGGCATGCGGGCTCTTCTTTAGTTATACAATCTCTGTGATCTCCAGTGCTTTCAACCCTACCCACGCCCTACCCACAGCTTTGTGTGACCCCTCACCTCCATGTTTGATGAAGATGAACATGCTTTCAAGGTCATCTCACTCTTCAGAGAATACCCTGATGAGTCATGTAGAACGAGAGTGTTCTAGAGGCCCTGGGGGGCCAAGTGGGCCCATAGGGTTGGGGGACCAGAGGGACAGATGGACCTCATAGGCTGAGGAGGCCCAGGCTGGGCAGACTCTGGAGAGAGAACTATTGGCAGAAGTGGATAGTCAGTATCCCTAGGGGTGGGGCCTGAGGCTGTAGTTGAGGGATTATGAGGTCAGAAACAGAAGGTAGAGTAGGTGTGAAGAGAGAACTTAGGTGGGTCTATAAAAGATTTGTGGGGAATGGGAGCAACATGACAAATCTAACTCTAAACTGGACTCTGGAATGAGTGCCAAAACTAAATGGAGAAAAATAAGTGTTCAGAACAGCACTCCTTTTTAGTAAATTTGTAGCACTATCACTTGCCCAACTTGACTCAACTATGCCTTTTTCCTAATCCGGCACCATGCCTCCCACATTCCTTGTATCCCATGTTTCCCCTGCTCCCCACCCCCACGACAGACTTCTTGATGATTGTCAACAGAAACTTTATTTTTAATTGATTCAGAAACAATAGAAGGGTAGGTGGAAAAGGGGAGGGAATGGACAAAGGGATGGAGAGAGGGAGAAAGTGTCCTATAAAAAGGAAGGGCCAGATTGGGGGAGATAAGAAACACTTACATAATAAGGGGGCAATTCAAAAGTAGGGGATACTGAGTGAAGGGACACTTAAGTTACATGAGGAACAGAATTCAAAATTAGCCACAGGAAGTGGTAGTGAATATTGTTAGTATCTTTTGAGGCTACAGGACCTTGGGGTTCTGTCAGGGCATTGGGGCTTCAGGCTTCAGGGTATAACATGGGGGGGGCCCAATAAGGGCTATGCTGGCTGGCTGGGGAGCCCCCAGGTCCCTCTCCTAAGGCCCCTCCTTTTGGGGGAATCTCACTGACGAGGCAGAGTCGTTCACTGTAATCTGGCTGCAGACTCTCAGCCAGTCCCTTAGACACACCACTCCAGGCCTAAAGACAAATATTTCCAGGTCAGAGGTCAGTTAGGGTCAGGAAGCAAAAGACCCAGGCTCTGTGCCAAAAGGAGCTCTCATGATGTCTGAAATCACTATGATTTACAGAAGGGGCACCCAGACTCCTGAGCCCCCAATACCACTGTTTCCATCTGTCTCGCACACACCATAATCTATTCTTCAGTGTGTCTCTCTCTGTTTAGCCCATCCCCCATTTGGTCGGCCACATCCTGACAGTTAGTGCAGGTTCCCCTCCCCCTTCACTCTGTCCAACCCCGCCACCACCCATCTTGCTGGCAGGCAGTTGGCAGTTGACAGACTATAGTATGTTTATGACAGCATTCTCACCGAGAAGTTCCCGTGGTACTCAGTGACCAGATCCTCTAGGTTCTTAAGGGTGGGAATTCGAGGCATTGTCCTGAGTGGGGGAGTAAGCCAGAATAAGAACGCATAGGTTAAATCTCTTTCATTACCCTTTTCCCAGTTGTCCTATATGGATGGATGGGATTTCATGTTTTCTGTGCCTGTAGCTTCCTCCCATCACCATGCCCTCTTGGGTGATCTCTCATTCCTTACTATCCTGTTCTGTACTCCTGAAGACCCTGAAATAACCTTTTCTCCTACTCCCAGTTATCCCCATCTTCCTGAAATCTCACCGTTCCAGCCAGCAATACACACAGAGGAGGCTAATAATCAACCCCATGGAGCCAATGGGGATAAGCACAGCCTCCAATGCAAATGACGAAGGATTCCCTAAGAAAAAAGGAAAGGAAAATGGACCTTACATTTGTGGTACCTCGATGATGTGGGTGCCAGGCACTGTGCTAAACACACTCCCTGAACTTAATCTCACAACAGCCCCTAAGAGGGAGAAACAATTGCTATCTGTATTTTACAGATGAGGAAACAGAATCAAAGGGGTCAGTCTGGTTCCAAGGCCATCTTCACCATGCAGGCTCTCTGGAATGCTGTAGGGAAATCCTACACATTCCATGTCCCCCTTGAGCACCCTTTGGCCTCCTTCTCAATCCACTCCCCTACTCTGGTGATACATTGACCCAACCCTACACAGAAAAAAAAAAACTTGCTTCCTAGGGGTTGGGGTTGAGGTTGAACAGTGAGGGGAGAAGGGGCATCAAGTTTGGGGGCTTAGGAATAAGAAGCATAAGACTAGTGCTAGAAAGACTAGGGTGCCAGGCTCATGTATTGAGGTCATGTATTGGGCCCATTTTACCCTTTGAAGTATTGCTCCCCCAGTGGATTGGATGGCTCCATTCACTCCATTGCTGAGCACTTCCACAGAGTGGGTTAAAGCGGCTTCGAACCCGGAATGTGTACAGTTTCTGCCCATCCACACTAGGCAGGGAGAAGCTGTTTCTGTGATATACTGGTTGTTCCTTGGAAATAAAGAGAGTGAGGGAAAGGTGAAGTGAGAATCAAAATAAAGTTCTACCTACAATTCAGTGTCATCTTCTGGTTCTTCCAAGTTCTGGTTCTTCCCCATTCTAAAGAAACCCTGTTCTGGTTCTTCCCAGTTCTACTTCTTTCCTCCTCTCTTGACTATTCAAGCCCCTTTGCTTCCTTTACTGACCTAAATCTAATGCCTCCCCTCCAGATCCCCTGAATGGCTTCCTTTTGTTTACTTGTCTATCCAGTATCAGGAAGCCTACAGGTAGTAGAACCTAAATGAAAACTCACTGGTGACGATAGGGAAAGCAGTCCAAGGGGGTGGTAGGCAGAGAAGCTGGGAGGCAAAGAACAGGAGCTTGATATTAGGGGCTCCTATTTGGCTGATTGAATCCTTAATCCCATACTTGCTTGACTTTAGCTGTTGCATTCATGTCCCCAGTCACTCACAGTCCAGCTGCGATCCCGGTTACTTCGGTACTGCACCAAATGCTCCAAACAGTGGTTCAAGTAGCTGCTGTTCCAGTTCAATTCTAGCTGGGATTCACTCAGGTTCTGAAGTGTTAGATTCTCTGGAGCCCAGGGGATCACTGGAGATATGTGTGTATGTGTGGTCATTCCCCTGGCCCTAGACAAGTCAGGATCTTGAAGATAGTGCCCCTTATCCCTCCTCCTAGCCCCATCCCTATTCCCTCCCTATCTCTTCCTTCCTGCCCATGTACAACAATGGGGGAAAGAACACCACTCCACATACTCCAATGTCCAATAGTACCCGTGGCCCCTTGACCACTTCTTTCCAAATTACCCAGATTCTGCAGTTTTAGTTTCCACTCAGTCTGCCTCTTGGGTTCCCTGGGGTCCTGAAGCTGGACAACAAATGTTTCATAGAGATAGATCTCCTCTTTTTGAAACCAACAGCCTGAAGTGATCTCTTCTGAGAATATATAGTGACCACACTCCTGAACTTTATTATTATCAGAGTTCTTGTACCTAGAGAAAGGTTGGAAGGAAGAGGAATGGTGGGGCAAATTTAGGTGCTGCAGTTGACTACAGCCTAGCCTCGCCTAGTCTGAACTGACTTAAATTCCATGAGAAAATAGTGGGCTGTCTGCGAGACTGGCTACCCTCTTTCTAGGTCCCCATGCAGTCCTTCTCATCCAACCCGCCTCCTCTTTCTCTCCTGTTAAACCCCCTCTTCCCTTCTCATACCAATAGTGCAGAGTCAGGTTAGTAGGCCGGGGCTCAGAGCTGCTGTTCCAAGTGCAATTCATGTACTCGACATTAAACACAAAGCACTGAATCTCTGGTAAGGGCAGGGAGGTAACATTAAGGGACCTGGGGTTCATAGAGGCCAGGAAGAGATCTAGGTGGGGGAGAAAAGGGAGTAGGGGAGGGAAAGAGAAGAAATGATAGTTAGAAGAAGGAGTACTGTGAGGTGGAGTACCCTTCCCTTGCCCTCCCCACTCCACTCTTCAATGCTGCCCACATTGTTGTAAAAGCCACTGGTCAGGTTCCAGATTTCTGTATGGCCCCTTCCCATAACCCCCTTCACCAACCTCCTCTAGTCCCAGATTTCCCACCAGCTGTGGTATCTTCATTCCCACTGGGTGTGAGAACCGGGTTCAGCCCCACCCCCAGCAGAAGCAGCTGCAGGAATAAGAAGGATCTGAGTGGCAATGATGGCTTCAACATGGTGCTTGCTCTTCGTTTCCCGGGTGTAGTCTGTGTCGGGAACCTGGGCCCTTCACCCGCTACCCCTCCCCACCCACACATTTCCTTCTATCATGGCTTCCGGTGGAAAGAACCTTAGAAACCAGGGCTTTTCAGAGGGTGTGGCAAATGTGTTCAGTGACAAGGCTAAGTCTTCTGGGAGGTCAGGTGCTGGTATAAAAGGTGGTGACTAAGGCTGGGTGTCACAGACTCAGTATTCTCAGATCATCTAGATCCTGGGAAGGATCTGTTCACCCCTCTGCCACTGTTCCCAGCCACCTTTCTTCTAATTTTCTTTTATAGTGGAGGGTCTGAACCGCCCCCCACCATCATATGCTACAGTCCTTCCTTGGTTTAGTTGCCCCTAAATCTCTATCAAAGCTCTACTGTCTTGCGAGGATGGAAAATACTGTCTTGGCTCCCGTGGGCACATATATAGCTGTCTTTCCTCTGACCTAATCTGAACCAGAATACCCACCCTTAGCTGCTGCCTGAGCTGGGTCCCTGTGGAGACTGGTGAGCAGATCTGACTTTAGAAATAGAGAATCAACAACACTAGCTTCAGACTCCCCATCTTCCTCCAAATCTGCTTCTCTTCCTGTCTTCCCTCTGAGTTAACAATACCATCACCCTCTCAGTCACCCAGACTTAAAACCTCAGGATCCTCTTCAACTCCCCCCACCCGACCCTGAGAATCCAATCAGCCCTGCTTCTGTGGTGTTTCTCCCAGCAGTTTCCTCCTTTCCATTACCACAGCCACTGTGCTAAATCAGCCTTTCATTACCTCTAGTCATGATTATTACTGGAACCCACTAGCTGGTCTTCCTTTCTAAAGGCTCTCTGCTTTCTAATCCATTCTCCATTCTGTGGCCAGATTTACCTTCCTCACAAACAGAGCTGAGTGGAGAAGCTATTTACAGAAATTGTTTATCCGGCAACCATTTATTGAGTCTTTAATATGTGCCAGGCACAGTGCTTATATTCTGAGAATATACGGACAAAAAAACATCCTCATCATCCTAGAAGCACATAGATAAGCAGAAAGGACATAAACAACACAATATGGCATAATAAGTTCAATAACATAGATGTGCATTTACTCCAAAGTATGTGAGCACAGAAGAGGAAGTAACTAAATTTACCAAGATGGAGGGGGAGGGGGAGTTCAGGAAAGCTCTGCTCAAGAGGTATTCTTTGAGCAGAACCTGAAAGAATGAGTGTGATTTTACCAGACAGAAAAGGGGGTAGGACATCAGGTGGAAGAAAAGAG